CCTGACCTAATAACTAGCAACACATCACTCACCTTGACCACCGCTGCCATGTGCTCCAGTACCACCTTGATGTATACCATGCTATCGTGGCTCTTATCGTTGACCATGCGTACGGCCATGTCCAGCGTCTCCTGCGCACCGGGGAAGGCAAACAGTCCAACAAGCGAACGTGTAAGGTTCCTGAGCTGCAATCTGTTCAGTCCAGAGACCGTATGGGTTAGAACATGCATCGCAAACTGCAAATTTACACTTACAAGCTACTGTGAGCCATGGTAAATCTTACGCAGCTGATACCGACCTGCTGTTGGGTCTCTGCTGCTTACCGGGTCGTGCATGGAGCACTGGCTGGGATCCAGACGGCAGTTGGGTGGGTGTAGCTTGACCTTCAGCAGCTTCCGTACATGCTCGTCCTGACGCAGTTCTTCGGCCGCGTCGTAAACCGCGATCCGTGTCTTGTCATAACGGACCTGGAAATCATAACCAATGTGGCGAAACGTGAAGGGATGCGTCCGCCCTCAGCGGAAGTGACCCAAGCCCTTCACAAGAGTGTAAGCAGAAGCGTTGGGACCATCCCCGCAGCATACATGTGGCTAGGGCTGCGCAGCTCATACAGAATGGAACCACAAAGGAAAGGCTAGGCTAAGGCGTGTCATCGCAATTACGCACCTTCAGGCTTGCCAGAGGGTCGTCACTTGAGTGGACATAGCGGCAGGACACAATGATGTGCACCGCGGGGTGCAACTTAGGGAAGTGCTCCCGAAGTAGCCGGAGGATATTGTTATCCAGGGATCCCGCGCGGCCATCCGCTTCGTCCACGCCGTCAATTAGAAGAACTAGCTGCCGGGTCCGACCCCTGGATGGGTCCACAACGTAGGAGAGAGAGATAAAGTGTGTGTGCGTGTGTGCAAAACCTTGAGTTGCGTTACCCTCCAAAGGTTCAACGGGCCCATAAGTGCACGATGTCGACAGAACCCCTGCCCCGCCACGCTGCATTTCAATAGAAAACGCTTGCGCACAGTCTTTACACGTGTAACACGACAGGAAAGGGCTTTTAGGTGCCTGAACTCACCGAACATCGCGAACCTTCTGCGGATCAGGCCGGCCGTCGCTTGGCGCACCCGACGTCTGGCCGCCCTCCAAGTATTCCTGCAGACCGCCGGCAGATTAGGAAAAACCCCGAGGGATTCAGCAGACACAGGAGAGCATGCCTGTACGAGTTTCATGAAATGCGCTACGTGCACGACCGAAAACGGACTGAGAACAGGAACGGACTGAGAGTGACGCTTATCGTGCACGGTTTGTTTGTTTGCCATCATCCCCATGCACACGGTACCAGCGCATGAGGTAGAACCCGTTCACGTTCCCTTAGTGTTCAGGTGTATCAACTTAAGAACCAAGGGGGGTCCCGGTGCCCCCTTGGTTCTTAAGTTGATACACCTGAAGATCGTAATTGCACGGAAGATCGTAATTGGAACTCAGAGCAGGGCTCTGGGCCGGCCTCACACCTGAATGGGTTGCAGCAGAAGTTCCAGGAAGGCCTCTTCCAAGCGCGAAATCTTGGAGACAGTCTCTGACGGCATTGAGGTGTAGATGGAACGCATCTCCGGCACATTCGTTGCTAACTGGTACGCCAAGGACTTCAGCATCCGAAGCGGGTCTGAATTAAGGGCGCGGGGAAGAATGGGGCAGGATAGAGTTAATGTACAAAGCACGACAGTGCCATATCGCCTGCAAGTCCTCTCCACCGTGAAGGTAGCCAGCATGCTAAGGCGTTCGTTGCCAGGAAAACGGCTAGGCTATACATTGCCAAAATCATACGCCCTGTGTTGCTTCGCCACGTGTCCATACACGTTAATAGTAGCGCAGAGCACCAAAGGCCGCAAAGCTTCACTTACCAGTCCGACGCCGGTCGCTCTGCTTGCAAAAGTGCAGGGCGTCCACTTGAACCTGTCAAGGCAAAAGCAAAACACCCAAGCTGGTGACGACATGGCGTTCCTAGCTACCCATGCCTCACAGTAGCGGTTTGCTCGCGAAGCACTACACCGCACGCGGTTCTACAGACCAACATTCACCTAGTCCGAGAGCCTCATGCGGAGAATCTAGGCTAATGCAGACGCTTCGATACCCGCACCCTACTGCCCTGCTGAAAACAATAAGTCCCTTCAGGCGTGAACGCGCACACAGCAGCCGGCAAGGCCAGCCCCTGGACTACCAGGAAATCCCTTTTTTTCCTGCATGCCCGGCAGTGAACTGGTAGTTTTCTAGCGGAGCGGAGCGTTATATAAGTAAGGTTTTCCGTGAATTCGGAGTGAAAACTGTACGGCATGGTGGCGTGCATGCTGTTGCGTCCTTGTGCGCGAAAGTGATGGTTGTTTCGGGTTTTTCGTGGTCACGTTAGGGTACAGCCCTGAAGCGGCTGGTCTGTAGGCCTTGTTTATTCGCTTCGGGGTAATGTGCCCGCACCCGGCCCTGCCCGTTCATGAAGACTATCTTTCCTCACTTGCAAGTCTTTTCAGTTTGTAACAGAGACTTCTCAAGGAAACTTACCTCAGGCAAGTCAAGTAAGGCGACAGGGTCGCTTGCCTTCCCAGATGGCGCCTGCAAAGCAAGTAGGCGCGCACACGGTCGCCAAGAATCAACTACCGCCACTGCGCCATTTCCTCCTGGATACGTGTCCACATACTCCTTATGCCACAGGCGTTTTTGCGAGAATATAATACGAGCTTGTCTACCATTGCTCGAGTGCTCGGGCGCTCCGGGGGTGTAGCAACCTCCGAGAGCCTAAACGGCAGCTAGCCTGCCCTGTCTCGATCAACTTCTTGCCAGAAATTTAGGCCTGACCTACCAGCCGCCTAGTCGCTCGTTCGCGTCGCTCCTGGGCGATGCGGGCCAGAGACGCGGAGAATGTCGACTTGCCGCTGCCGACCACCCCATAAACAATCATGAGGCTTGGGCCCGCCATGCCACGGGCAGAGCCCACTCGGCTGCACGCAGGAAAAGGCAGGTACGGGTACAGCCAAGTTTCAGCATCCCAAATCCTTCAGTCAGGCTTCTATACGGCCATAATACATTGTCATGGCGGCATCCTAACGGCGTAGGAAACTAGGTATTCCATCGCAATATATGCACGGCCTTGCGCCCTCCGAGCCCGTGTACGACAGCTGTCCGGCGGCTCGCAGTGCACCCCAGCCGCACGTCTAGATTGCTTTGCCCCAGCCGCCGCCGTTGCGAACGCAAAAGATGCGTTTAATCCATAGTTGTCATCGTGGAAAGAGAATGTACTGACTTATTTGGCAGCATGCCTCATGTCCTGCGCTGCATTCTGAGTGCCGCGCTTGCATCGCAAGGCGGTAAGCGAAGCCCCGACACCGTTGGCTAGATAAAGTACCTTGGAACGAGCTGATACGCAAGGGGAGGGGCCTGTAAATTCCAAGCAGTTTTGCTTCTATGCAAAATACACATCCGTCTGGCACTTTGGCACTTCGCAGAGGTCCATACCTTGCCGATGCCGTTGATGGCGCCGCCGCCGTGGGATCCATCCGGCGGATGTCGCCAACCACCTGATCCATATTCCAGGCATCGCGTGCAGCCTGCACTTGCGCTGCCGCGGCCTCCGCGGCTGCCTGTGCTGCGGCCGCCGACATGAGCGAATCTGCCTTGCTCGCGTCAACCTCGGCGCCCAGGTAGCGGGCGCTGTGGTGTCCTCGACGGGAGCGGTCAGCGCTAACGCCGTTCGACGCTGGCTCCGTAGCGGTGCGAATGCTGCTCGTGGCCGAGTACGTGATGCTGCGGCATGTCAAAAAAGGGTCGTGCACGGGGAATGGAGACCGCATGGAGGCGAGCGAGCTATAACAGGTGCTGTCACAATGTTGGCTTGCCTTAAAAACCATGTTATAATGGGATTTCAGCGGAATTCCAAACAGGTCGGCAGAGCCCACTTCAGCTGTGACGAGTATCAAGCGTACACCACAGTCCTTTACGTATAGAGAGGAACATGACCGAGGACTTCGCACACCGTCTTGTACGCCTTTATGCAAGTTTAATACTAGTATGATACTCACCCGCGCAGCATCTCCTTGATTTCCGACGAATAGTCCAAGGGGTCCTGCATAAAGCAGCGTACATGGCAGAGACGAGTACATGAGCATTCCAGCGGCTGCAGCAGATAGGCCGGCTGACGCCCCACACTCGTCATAACGCCTACAGGGCCTGTACGCCCTAATGCCGGTTTTAAAGGGGCGGTATCAAAAAGCACAGCCTCTTCCTCAGTGCGCTTTGCGTTGCATGGATTAGAAGGTGAGTCGAGACGTCGTCACCAGCAGGCAACTTGGTACGGTCGGGAAGGCCGCATCGCCCGTTAGCTGAAGTTGGCCTTGCAAAAGGCGACCTCGTGGGCACCGTGTGTGGCACCTTCATCCCCTGCGAAGGTATGAAACACCTATTCGGCTCCTTACCAGCAGGAAGAGCAGCTTCAATGTCTCGTTGAACTCCTCGAGCGAGTTGTACGACAATGCAATGTACTTGAGAATGCGCTTCCGGTCATCCTCGTTGGTGGCCTTAGCCGTGTTTACATCAATGGCCTGCGGATTGCAAGCGAGGAGCAGCACACCATGGGGCCCCCGGCTTTTACGGTCACCCCGCACTTGTGCGGAACTTGTAACTTGTAATTTGTAAGTAATAGATTAACCATGCTAAGTCTGTGGACCGACCATTACGGGGCTCGGTAGAGCGCATGGACCATTGGGCAGGTGGTAAACGGCACCAACCCGACTATGTTCTGTGACCATCTAACCGGCAATTTCTTGCGTACATATATTCAGGATCCGATCGGATCCATTGTACCCTCATTCCTTCATTCATGCATTCAATAAAATGCCACGAGTAGCTATTAGTACCCTGTTGCTGTCACAGGGCGCTTCTTACAGGCCATGTTCCTTTCTCCGCTCCCTTATTTTCGCTACTACATTCGCTACATATGCCCTCCTAGACCCGGCACACACCTCGAAGCAATCCCGGATGTCATTGTTGGTGAAGCCGTACGTCAGCAGATGCAGCGAACCCAGGCCCTTCTCCCGTACAGTAATCCAGATCTCAAACAGGCACCACACGCGACCCAGCGGGCCCGCTTGCCGGTCCAGGACCACCAGTGTCCCTACACAGCAGATAATGTTACAGAGAAAAGGCAAGCACGCTAATGTAAGGCCGCGACCTAATTTCTACACCAGCTTCGCATGTGTACAGTGCAGAACCTTTGTAGACTTATAAGTATAAAAATGGGACCAGGAGTGGCGCAGGCAGGTTAAGTGATGGCTTGGAGGTAGATTCTCAAGCAGAGTGCCGCAAACCTATCCCACACACCAAAGGGCCATTTGTGCCGCCAAACTCTCTTAGAACAAGCAGGGCCCCGACATTAATCGGGAGAATGTGGTAAACAAATTGCTGCTGAGGTATGGAGATGAGGTCTCGTTGATGGACTAAGTTTCGCATGCTGAGCTAGTGGCGATCGCTGACCTGTCTCTATGGATGCCGGGTGACTGGATGAGGCGGGGTCTAGGTAGCAGGACCACAAAACCACCGTCGGTTGTACGGTGGAATCAACTGTCAATACATATAGTCCATGGCCTCCCGGCTTTGACGGAACTCCCCGCACTCGTGCGGCACTTGCAACTTGTAACTTTAAGAGTAACTGCGCTTTAGCACGTGTCGTATGTAATGCATGGAGGCAATAAGTAGAGTGGGGAACGTACCTCCGCTAGCAGTGGTGATGGCATTGCTGACCTGCACCAGGTCGCTATCGTGTCCCTCTCCAGGATGCTGCAGGCGGCGGACAAAGAAAGCCAAAGTCACATGCACTGGTGTAGTAGCTGGTACACAGTACGGCACACATACAAATACGGGCTACACGCGACTGCCAGCATCTCGAGAGGCCTTTTCAGCGGCCAGCTAATACAACTGGTGAACGTTCAGCCAGCAGCTTGTGTGATGCAAAGTGCTGGCTGAGCATGCGTCAAGACCACGGATAGCAGACAGGGTAGGAGGGACACAGATGGATCCAGTGAGGCACTTGCAACTCTGGCGATGAAAGGACGACGTGGTAGGAAGGGCGGAGCACGGTCACAATCCGCAATGGCAGAGGGCCAGGTTGCAATCGCGGGGCTTTCAGCCCTATCTTCCTTGCCTGGTTGACTGCGAATATGTCCAGCCACACGTACACCTCCCCTGGCACGGCTCCGCTGAGGTAGTCCCGCACCGAGCGAACCAGGTAATGGAAGGGACTGTCCCATTTGTGACTGATGAAGTAGTCGGGACGCTTCACATGCCTGCGGTTGGCGAAGTTGTGTTAGGGGACGGGAGTATGGGAGTCAACAAAGTACAGCAAGGGCAGCATCCGCATTTGGGTCAACGCCTATAGGGTCGAAGATTCAGTAAACAGTGCATACGGCTCAAGCACCGGTCTGAATCCATGGACCGAAACCGGAGCAGCAGACCGCATCCTCCGCCGAGGTGTGCTACCCACTCCGCGCGGGATTAAATTCGCAATCATGGCTTCATCTTAATTTCAGCCGCTCTTAAAGGCAAACTGGTGATGCTGACACGCACCTAGCCGGCATCAGGTCCGCGAAGCGGCACTTATGAGTCTGGGTGAAGCCCTGCACAAGCTCTTGTACCACGCGGCCTGTACGCCAGTCTTCGGGAACCTACGTGGAGTGCGGTAAGGTTCAATTGAGGGCCAATCCTTGGCATAAGCGATGGGAAAATGGCCTCTGTGCGTCCTGTTGAGCACCACACGGTCGATAGCTCCCTTAGCGTGAAGGGCAACCTTTTTTAGGGTTCAGTTACCGGAACCGCTTCAGGAACTCTTGGCGAATGCCTGGGCAAAGACGAACCCAGCAAGCCTCGGTGCAGCCCATCCTACGTATGTGCATCCATGAGGTTGCACTCTGTGTCACTTTTCAAACTATGATCCAAATGCCTCCCCATTCCCAACCAAACCCTTCCTGTTGACAACTGACCGGAAGTCGCGCATGCTGGCGGACCAATAGTCCCTTCGACCGTGCTCACCTCCCGTGCGAACTCCAGGAGGAACTCCAGCGACACGGCGCACTCGCTGACCTGCTTGCGGGAGTTCACCGCAGCCCCTTCACAATTGCCTTCACCGGCCGCGCCGCCTGACAGTGAACGCCGCACCAGGTGACTTGCAGCACGGGCACCGGAGCCGGCAGCAGGAGAGGGCGGGAGGGCAGCACAGGGGTCCTCTGCTGCGGCCGCAGCCAGGCGCTGCAGCAGCTTGGTGATATTCCACAGGCGGAGCTGTTCATCTGTAAAGTGCTCTTCTAGGTTAATGCCTCCGGTGGGCAAACGGTCTGCATTTTTTGTTCCGCTAGGACGAGTGGATAGCTGCCCAGGTGACGCTTGTAACCCGGCAGCTGCGCCCGCCCCAGACGAAAGTGAGCCGTCCGAAGATGCCTGGAAGTTATGCCGGGGATATGCGGTTTTCATTAGGTAATCATTGGACCAAGCGACTCTAGCTAATCCGGGTTCGCCAATATGGGCGACATTCGCCCCAGTGTGTTGCCCTCTGCCCGTCCCATAGGGACACGCAGTTACGGGCAGGGCAACTGTTTATTTTGCGACAGGGAAGGAGGATAGCAAAGTAGTTACAGATCCCTGAAACGCGTGGATCTATCAACATCTAAAGACACGGTGACCCCGCCGTTCCCGCGGACCCCAGGCCCCTGCCCGTCCTTATCACGCATGGCGTTAGTATGTTGGGACATGACAGAAAATTATTACGCCCTTGTTTACATGATGGTATATCTGCACTGCGTCTCCATCTCCGAGCATAAGCGACATGGTCATCCACCTTGTCGCCAAACCACATACCCACCCCTGATACCTATGGGCCGCTTTATAAAATACATCCAATGCATGATATGTTACAGCTGCTTACACAAACCTTTCCAGGTGGGGCTTCCTTTTCGGCGACTGCTTTGGAGTCCAAGGCGCCAACTACAGGCGCAAGACGGGGCAGAGGTTGGGATCTCCCTTGCACCGCGTTACGTGATGCCCCGCATCCCTGCACAAGGTTTGCAGTCACGTTAGGTCACTTGCCGACATGGTAAAGCCACCACCAGGCAAGCATTACGGCATAATCAACATACCATGCTGTGTAAAACTAAAGTTCCTGGATAAAGATTGATATTTGTTCCTTAACAAAATCTCAAGAGAGTCTGCAACGGTGACTCATTTATTTACGAAAGTCAGCTTATCATAAGCCAAAGCGTTATTTTGAAGTTCAAAAACGGTAGTTTGGAAGAGGATCACAGGAATTCACGATTTGCGTCTGAATTGGCCTGTTCGGTGCGCGTTGACGGCCTTCGAGGAAGATTTGCCATCAGCTGCCATGCTCATGGTACGTTATGTATAAATATGTAGGCAGGAGCATGACCATCCTTGAAAAAACGTGTGGAGAAAAGGTACGTTCAACCTTCCATCAAGCCATCCCATACTTTTGTACGGAAAAAAGCTTCATGACAGACAGGGGACCGGTAACCAGCGGTTTAAAAAGGGGTACGTACATAAAGACGTAACTTTACGGTTTTTGACATGTGGAATTGGTCCTGCTGCATACCTGCTTCCGTTCTGTAACCCCGTCTTCCATATCCGGCCGGCCAAATAACTAAGTCCCGCAGGGCGTGCCAAAGAATCCCCTCAGCAATCAAGGGCCGGCCGGGCAGTAATGAGGCTGCAAATTGCAATCTTTGATGCTGCAGGCTAAAGTAATGGTGGATGCATAATCTGTCTGCCTCCGTGATCTTTGCTTACCGTTCTAAATGGCTTTTCATAGTCTTCAAAGGAGTGCTGAGAGCCACACCCCGCTTGTGCAGATTGGCTTACTCCGGGGCCCCTGTTTGGTTACCTGCGTCCGGTAATCTGGACTACCGGACAGGTCAACGTAAAATATAAAGGACGCTAATTTTTTGACCGTACTGTGCTCGGGACCCCATTCCTTAACCCCTGAAGTCGTAACTGTCCCCCCCACTGCAATGACAGCTCCGTGACGTTACACACGGCACCGAACGTAAGCTGACTTGGAACGTGGAAAGCAACCACCTGACGAAGATGTATCTTCTTGTCTTACCCGAGAGCGGGGCTCCCCGGGCTTATGTGGAATTATTAACGGTAACGCTCCATCCTTACAACTTAGCGCAGAAACGTGGCACCCATGAGTGTCTTCTAACAATAACCTCCAAAGCAAGTGCCTGCAAAACCCTCAGCGTGCTCATACCTATATTTGCACTGACCTTTATTTGAGCAACTTCCCACGTTTTCCCACGCGGACAAAAGCGGCGTAGGCAATATAAACGTCACATTTTATGAATGGAAATAACGTACTTCATAGATGTCCTCATTTCTGGGGCGGGATTCCCCACGCCTCATCGCCAGGTACCCTGTTCTCCAGCTAAAACGCAGCATCAGTAAATCGCGAATCCGTCCGTCATTCCGGTTTCTGTCGGCAAGGATGTTACCAGTTGAGAAAGCACAGCAGGCTCGCTCCAGTCATGTACATCATAATTCACAGCTCTACCGCCATCAACAGCATTTACGAGATGTATAACGACTTCGAACGACTTCTCAGTAACACAAGAACGCCCGCTGCGCATATTTTTGATACCTGAAATATTCATTCACGGCGCAAGCTGCACGCCCAACAGGGTCAAATGGTCGGCGGCTACCTCTTTTGCCTTGTCACCACGATAAGCCGCGCGCATTAATGCGCTGGGAATATTCCCAGCGCCCACGCATCCACCGACAGCAGCAGTCAAGCAATAGCTATGAATCGACCTTAATGACCACGAAAACGAAAAAATCCCTTGACAAAAGCAGCAGGTCCACGATGGTGACAAGCATTGCCAGCATTGTGTCCCAAAATGAAGTTCACGCTCCAGGTTTGGTTGCCGATGCAGAGCTGCACAGCTGGCACCCTAGCTACTTGGCGCCAAGGCAGCTTTCCTCCAAGCTGCTTCGGTGCTGTACATCTAGCTCAACTAATCCGAATGCGGAAACACAGCGAACTCAAACCACAAGGTTAGCAACGAGGCCACCAGTGTCATAAAGCCCACCGGGCTGCAGACCGTGAAGAAATGCGCGTAGCTTATCTTCAGGCCATGAATGCCAATGATGTTGGACCAGAGGATGCCTGCGAGGGCTCCGATCAGGGTAAACACTGCGCCGATGTTGCTGCAAAGCGAGGACAACGCAGTGGTGGGGGGCGTCCTTTGTTACCATCGGCGGGTGGTGGCATGTGTGTCGTGTATACAGGCTGCCTGTGGGCTTGTACCTGTCGCTAACCCGCCTCAGATCTAGCTTTAAATCTGCTACCGTAGCATATCCTAGAAATTATTTCCTCCTCCAAAAGAAGGGTACCCGTTGATTTGGTAAGTAATGTGCTCTATGGCTCTAAGGCTAATTATTCTTGTAGGCACAACGAACATGGCAACATGTACTCACGAAGGCACGCACACACGCACAGCTGCCGGTTATGATGCACATATACTCCAGGGAGAAACCCCTCGGCATGTTCCAAACCTCGTTCACCAACCGTCGCCACGCGTCACTTCCTGCCCAAGCGCTCACCTTCCCAGGACCAACGCAAACAAAGCCGCCTTGTGGGTGTTGCCATGCCCCACATTTGCCGTATACCTGACAAAAAGTACCAAAGCCGAAGGGACGAAACAGCCACCCGGTGATGCGAAGCCCAAACAGTGGCCGAGCTCAGCATATGGATAGGCAAGCAGCTAATTCCATGCGACCAGGATTTCCACAAACCCTCTGAATATTCGACTAGCCACATTCCCCATGGTGCTGCCATTGGAAAGGCAAGGCAAAGTAAAAGGCGCATCGCCTTGTATCGCGCATCAAAGGGTTTCCAGCATAACCCGCATCCCTCATTTGAAAAGATGAGACCCAGCGCGGCATGATCGAACAAGCCCTCCGCGGCCGGCTTGAATGATCGGAACCGCGGGCAGGGACTGGCGAGAAGGCACAAGATTAACTTGAGCGAAGCAACCGTTTGGACATGTGCACATGCATGCATGTATTACATCTCGACTAATTACCTACAGAGGCATAATAAGCCTTGCGTTCTGCGTTGCGATGACCCATGGGTCAATGCTGACCCGGCACCTACCTGGCGTCGAGCGCCACGCGCGTAAGCAAGATGGTCATTGGCTGGTTGTTGATGGTGTTGGCAAGTATCACTGACAAGAATCCCATGATGAAGATGGCAGCCGGCAGCTCTGTGCTCCTCCTCCCCAGGCCGTTGCCAAACACGTTCAGCCAGCCCTGTCGGAAGCACAGGCGCCAAACGCCATTGTCAAGCCAAGCACAGGCGCCAAACGCCATTGTCAAGCCAAGCACAGGCGCCAAACGCCATTGTCAAGCCAAGCACAGGCGCCAAACGCCATTGTCAAGCCAAGCACAGGCGCCAAACGCCATTGTCAAGCCAATTACAGGCGCCAAACGCCATTGTCATCGACATACGTCAAGGCCTCCGTCCGTGACAACATCAATACCAGGACATAAAGGACAAGGAAATGTGTGAGAGTGTAACGTAACCCGATCCTATACAGCTCATCATGCTCTTGTCGACGTCAAGTCGTATTTGTTCAGGGGGACCAGGACGTCATCGTGGTACCATGTGTTCGTGGGGACAAACCATATGCCCTGCGGTGTGAACCGCGTACACTGTAATCACGTTTTACTTTTTTTATGAATACCTCTTGACTTGCTGTAAATTACCTGAGTTTTCAGCAAGTTGGAGACACGAAAGGAAACAGGAAAGCTGCCGCTGCTCCGTGGAATCGCAGGACCACGGGCTGCCACACAGTTAACAAGTTCTATAGCACTAGACGCCTTCCCCGGGGTGGCCCACCCCGTGGAACCGGACCGGCACCTCACGCCAGCACACGCCTCCGTGTACCTACCTGCACGTAGAGGCCTTCCACCAAGACGAACATGCCCAGCGCAAACGGGACAACCTCCCAAGGCAAATCAAAAAAGAGCGCCCAAAAGGTAGGCGCCTTGCCGCGCAACGAGTCCACCGTCATCACCGGCGGCAGTGGTTGCTCCGACTGCTGCTGTGGGGCCCCAATGCGGGCCCCACCTGCGGCCCGTTCCCCATTCTCCTCTGCCAACACCACCGATGTTACTGGGGGCAGCTCTGCAGGCCCTCTTTGAGCAGCCTCCGCCTCTGATCCAGATGAAACGCGCAAGCATGCCGGCGTGTGCCCAGCTGCGGCAGATCGTAAGCACCGACGGATGTCACCCTGCTGGTCGCGGCTATTTTCGGCCGCTGGTGCTGCTGCATCTGCGCAACAGCCGGGGCCACGGGCGGCGACGTTTCGATCCACCGAGTCCACCTTGCCGCCTGCATTAGACCCGGTGCCGTTGCGGCCGCACGCGAGCTCAGATGGTGACATGGGACTGGCGTTGATGCCGCTGTCCCTGGCCTCGTTCGCCTCCTCCACCATGAAGGCCGTGTCCCTGTCGCCGCGACCATTGGCCAACAGCCCAGCCGCCTGGCGCACGCCGGTCTGCAGGTGAAGGTAATTTGGTACAGACATGTTCTCTCATGCCACGAGTAAAGACCGCAGGCTAAGGACATGCAGGTCCTGGTGTGTGTTTGTGTGAGCTTGGAAAAAGGGGCTCCATGCCTAATGCCAGACCGTCGGCAAGCAATCTTACCACCTACTGACTTTGTTTGCAATCCCTGCGGCAGTGTTTATGTGTTGGGATGAACGCGGGCGGCGCCATTCGGCATCCTTTCCTCCTGCAAGCCATGACCGTGCTTTCCGCGCTGGCGGTGCTTAAAGCTCCCGCTAGCCCCATTGCGCAGCCGGAATGCGTCGCCAGAGGCGCGGCCCATGCCACTAACACGTCAAATTTCTGGGGACGCGGTTCTTTTTCTTGCCGGCCCCAGTCCCTGCACAGCCGGCGCTCCCTAACCTCCATGCCGGCTTTCTCCGCGACGACGCCACTGCCCACCGCAAAGGCCCCGTCGCCCGACCCTGACGACGTCGACTGGTCCATCTTACAACTTGCCGCGAGTCCGGATGCTGCGGCCACGGCTGCGTCGCTGCCGCCGCTGCCATCGCGAGTGGCAGACGCTTCATGGTCGGGTTTGGCGCAACCGCACGTCCAGCACTCGCCGATCGGCACGTGCAGTAGTGATGTCCGAAATGCCCAAATGTTGTAGACGCAATGGACGCCGGCGCAGACGAGGGTTATGGCCCACATGGCCCAACCTAGAGACGGTGCCGCCGCCAGCAGACCCAGGCAGGTCAGCATGTTGACCGAGCCCAACACGGCTCCCAGCTTGTCACGCAGCATGTGTGACGCGTCGACGGTGGGCAGTGGAATCGACGCCGGAATGTTGCGGTGGAACTCCAACAGCAGCATGGCGAAGCACGCGAGTCCAGCGGCTGCGGGAAGTTGCGATAGATAGGCAATGCGGCGGTGCGCGGGGATGGGGACAAGACACACCGTGTGGCTCCGTGGGCACGTGGCAGGTAAGTGCCTATTAGGTGATATTCACTCCCTCGCAAGGAGCGCTGCTGCTGCTGCTGCTGCCGCTGTTGTCTCACTACTGCCGCGTCTCCACAATGAGCCCTGATGAACCCGACGCCGCTGAACTGGGCTGTGATATCAGTTGATGAACTGGTAGCGGTAACGCAACAACGTTGTGCAGCTGCAATGCGCAGCAGCAAGAGTCAAGGAGAGGACGCCCGACCTGACCTCGCCAATCGCAGGTAAACCACCTTAACCTCGTCTTGCAGCGTTGCTTCCATTGCGTTTTGGACGCGTCAGGCACCACCACACACCACTTACCGAATGTTGGCAGGGACATGTACTTGCTATAGCCCAAGAAAGTCATGTTGTAAGCGTCCGCGACGATGATGTTGGTGGGGTTGCCCGTGTAAAGCAGTGCGCCGAACGTGTTGGCTGCGGCGTACTCCGCGAACAGGAATGGCATGGGGTCCACACCCGTCGCTTTGGCGAAGTAGCACACGATGGGCGTCAAGGTCAAGCTGCGACGTGCAGAGGGGTCAAGACACACGCGCACAACTAAAGACCATGGAGATGAGATGCGTGGCGACCCATGGGCAGGCGAGGGCCAGTCTGCTGCATAGGTAGGGAAACACATTGAAGGTTCGAACGCAGGGACGTAAGAAGAACTTTGTAAAGGGTAACCTGCAGGTGCTAACCCGACAAAACGAAAGGTTATGAGATCCCATGGCTCTCACGTGAGATTTGCTCAGGGTTTAGGGCGAAGGTGATTGGGAGCTGCAAGCGTGCGGATTCCAACAGCGTCCGGCAAATGGCACTGTCGTACTCTCCTCCAGACTTGCTATAATGATAAGCACGGCACAGTACATTCGTTCGAGGTGATTTCCGATGCTGTTAGGCACTTCGAACTTCGTGTGACTGGACCCTCAGCACAGACTCTCCTCGGCCAACCCCAGAAGCCACATGCCACACTCCTTTCCCTCGCTCTGCGCCTACATGCAGACATCGTTGGACGTGAATGTTGTAATGAAGCTCGACAGCAGGAAGTAGAACAGAAACAGCACGCGCCCCCGGCCACCAGACATGGTGGTGAACTTGAGGGCCAACCAGGCGAAGACCTGCGATCCGCAACCCTGGGGTGTTACGACGCTAGCAATTCCGGAAAGCGCGCGCTCGAAGAAACACATACTGACCCCTGTTGCGTCCAGGCTTCCTGCGATGTAAGCCATGCTCATGAAGAGGATGAGGATGCCGTAGGGCTGGATTTGGCTGTTTCCGAGCAGCCCCCGGCCTACGTCAGCTATGGACATTGACGTGCACGCCAGCATAGCAAGTACGGCAGCGACGGGCGCAACATAGTATTTTACTGAAATCATGAAGGGCTGCCGCCCCGGCACAGGTATTCGCCATACCACAGCCTTGAAGACCAAGAAGATAGTCAGCACGATAGCCAAGCAGAAAATCACCAGAGCAGCAATAGCTCGAAAGGAGCCGACGTCCTGATTGCTGACACTTGATGCCATTTTGTTCCAAATTACCAAGCAAAACTTCTATAGATCCGCTGCACTGGACCTCAAATACAATTCCGATATCCGTTGGCATGCGGTTTACACCTGCCGCGTCCATAACCCGGGTCTCAATACAATGATATATAAGAAAGCACAAATTCGAGCCTTCATGGCTGTGGCCGGCCAAGCGTGGGTGGAGGTTATGTTCAGCCGCAACACTGTAAAAAAGGAAAACGCACACGCGAAGTTTGAAACGTCAGTAATCCATTTAGCTCTTTTAAGTGGAAGGTAAGGGTAATTAACCGCGGAAGTCTGCCAAAAAACGTTAATGAGAGGACGCAAGGGTTGAGCTTATTGGCAGAATTAATAAGTGTTGGTCATGTACATGTTCAGCTTCTGAAATATGCGACATGCAACCCTTGGATAGAAACTGTTGCAGTTGTAGGGACATCATGGACGATTAACGTACCGCATTAGTCGTTATCAGTTGTTAGGCTTTGTCGAACCTGCCAAGCTAACGTATTACGTCTAGATGTTGATATTGTCTTAAATTTGGGCTGAATATTTTTTAATGCTTTCGACTGCGCCGAAACGTTGGTATAGAACGCAGGCGATCGTCGCCAATTCTCCTGGTCGCATCCTACTTTGCAGCATTTGGTTTTTCTCGATAATTAGAGCTAGAATGAAAGCCTTGTTGCAAATGGAAACACCGCTCGGCACGCTTAGCGTGCGCAACGATAGGTGCAGATATTCCTGCCTTTTTCTTAGATAAAGGCAGAATTATCTCAGCCTAAACTTTCATCCGAATTATTGCAAGAACCAGGCTGTCTTTGCCGTGCATATTTTGTTTTATCGGACATCGACTGCACACTACATGTCGGGCTGGCGCGTTGCGCGCCAGAGTCAGCAAATGGTTGGCGTTCAATAGATAGAAGATGCATCACCCAGAAGAACGCGGCTTAACGATACGAAATATAAGTAGCGATTGTCGTAATTGGACTTGAAAGGAGCAGAGGGGAGTAGCGATGTAATCGTAACAGCTCCGTGTAGCTCCGTAACTGGCCATATCATAGGCGCCTGCAGTATCAGCTGACACTACGCGCACCTACCAGTCCGTTACAAAGTTGTTACACATGGACATCCTGGGCTAGCAGTTGTAGCGGCCAACATGGGAAGGTAAGGATTTACTTGGGATTTGCTTTCCTTGGTTTGCGTCGTCCAGAAGTGTAAAAACTCTCTTGGGACACCCACTCTTGGGTTTACTTCCATCGTGAATGTGAAGTGGTGCACAGTTTTCTTGAGGATTGTGACCTCGTTGAGAATTGCAAGTGGGAGGTTGAATGTCGAACCCGCTCTGTTTTCCGGCAGGGAAAGTGGGCTACTTGTCGCTACTTGTTTCCCCTTTGGGCCCTCCTTGCTTCTCCTGTAAACGTCATGTCAGGAGGGCAATGCGGGAGCACACTGTAGTTCTTATGCAAGATTTAAGATGTCTGTTTTGCATGAGCTTGTTGGTTAGGGACGGTTAAGATCGGTTGTTTCTAACAACACCCCAGTAGGTGTTTTTTAACATTTGAACCTGTACGGTGCTACCGGGTCTCTGTTCCTTCCGCAGAATTGGCAATAGACCTTTCCAATATGGTAAATTCCAATCCGTAGCTCTAATTAGAAGTTATAACTTCCTTACATGCACCTGAGACTATCCTGAACATGATCCACAATTCACGGAGATTTAGCAATCGCTTGTGCACAGTTCTACCAAAGCCGCAACGCGCGGAGGGCTGCATAGTGGCTGGTCGGTTGGCTTAACCAGCAGAGAGGAGCCCGAACGGACGAACTCGGACTTTGCCTGCACATGTCCTGCTCACCCAATTCAGTCGATTTTTGGAATATTTGATTCCAGCATTGGGATAGCTGCTAACATGGGATAGCATGGCTGCACGAGGTAGACCTGTGGTAAGGCAAACTGCGGTAGGGCTAACGGTGCATGATACTTTTGTGGGTAGCAGATCGAAGCCGTATGAGTACTATTATATCCGCAATTGCTGAACCGGCAACCCAAAAGGCGGGGAGGGCGAGGGGACAGTACGAGCTGGACGAGCAAACTGCTTGCTGAGCGAGAACACGAGTTTCATTTTATTCATTTTGTTTTGTTGTTCAAATGAGATCCGAAGCCAAAATAAACCGGTAACATTACTGCGACATGAATGGAAGTGTCACATTAGACTAATATAAAGAGTACGCCTAAGCGTTTTAAAAATGCAATTTAACATTTTTCCTAACATGGCAGGCTTTAGGAGGACACGCTAGGCGAAAATGATGTCTCAACCGCACACACGGCGAGAACGGAGAGGTCTTCAAGTGCTTCAATCTATACAGTAGAATAGTATTTGTGGTAGCTACCGGGAGAGGCTACCTATGGTATGTCATAAACGTCGAATGCACGTAACGTACATGTCACGCGGCCTGGTATGTCCTGAGGCAAAATCTACCTGCTATAGGGTTGCGGTGTATCTCGAAAGCTTGAGGCAATTCCCGAGGAACAGGGAGCCTCAGCCCCAGCGCTGCAAGCGAATGGCGAGCGTACGCTGGCTGTCGCGGAGAAGAAGTCACCTCCAGACAAGGTATCATCCGTAGGAATACCACGGCTTACACGGAAACGCCTCTGATTATGGATTGTCCATCTTAGGCCCCATGCCCGCCTCCCCTCCTCCCGTACCGTCGCCTCCCCGCGGCGACCCCGCGGCGGCACATGTGTTCAGCTCCCCAAGGACCCGCACACGCGCAATCCCTCACCCCCGCACGTACCTAAGTACCCAATAAGCCGCAATATGTCCAAACCACAGCCCTTCAAGCTGCGGGTTTCCGCGGGATTCCAAAATTACAACGGTGCATGCAGGACGATACGGGAAGCGTCGCTCGCTCTGCACTGCTGGTCGGCATCTCCGCCACCTCTCCCTCGCCTGCCAAAGCTTCAGCTCCAGCAATCAACGGCCGCCCCGGCGCTTTGGTCCTCGGAGGTGTCGGTCGAACCCTCGAGGACCACTTCACAGAAGATCAGCTGCGCCAATGGAACGTCACCAAGCTGCTGCGCCGCCTGGCGGCAGCCGCCGCGGCCGAGGACCCCCACCTAGCCTCCCTACCAACCTCCCCCGCCGCCGGCTCCGGGGCGCGCGCTGCTAGCCACCTGGTGCGTCGCTCCGGTGCTGGCGCGGGCATGGGCGGCGAGCCATTCGGCTCGCTGGGGCCAGCAGCCGCGGCGGCGGCAGCAGGGGATGACGATCTTGCGGTGAACTCCCGCAAGCAGGTCAGCGAGTGCGCCGTGTCGCTGGAGTTCCTCCTGGAGTTCGCACGGGAGGTGAGCACGGTCGAAGGACGGCCCCATGGGCCCCGCCCCGCGCCGCCCTGCCCCGGCCCGTCCGATCTGGGTCACCCCCCGTCCGGCACCTGATCCGGCACGGGCGAGGTGTGACCCAGATCCCAGGGTACGCAAGCAGATTAGCTAAAGAAACAATAAGAAACAAACTTAAATAGCAGCAAGGTTTACGGAGGATCAACATGGGAGTAACCTGAGAGAGTGAGAGAACAGCCGCCGGGGTGAAGTATTATTGTTCGGGGAAGCAGCTGTAGTAAGGGGAGCTCCGGAGGAGAAGGAGGAGGAAGAGGAGGTGGAAGAGGAAGAGCCCCTTCACGTCCTATTGCGCCCTGCCGGAATCGTCCCCCTATTCTCCGCCGCCGTCCGTATCGACGATCGGCCCTTGCACCGTTCGCTCTCTTCCCCTTGTCTCGGCCTATCCCTGGAGCACGTTTACACTTGCATTGACAAATGATGGGGCGGCTACCTACCTGCATATGTGTCAGAAGGGAACATTCCCTGAACTAAAAAAGAACGCAGCGCGTGTAGGAAATGGTTAAATATGTGATGTGAGAAATGTTACGATGAGAAGAGCTGACGCCTGGGTTTTATCAAAATTGAGAGGATGTGAGTAAGGATGAGAGTTCGAATGCGTGTTGAGATGCGTCGTTGGGATGAAAGTTGTCTCGCCGTCATTTCAGCTGCTTGTTGTTATGTTATATGTGATTTGCACGCGCAGATTCCTGACGAGTGGCGCACGGGCCAGGTGGTCCAGCAGTTGGTCAAGGGCTTCACGGCGGAGCGACAGAGCCGCTTCACCGATATGGTGCCGGAAAGGTGGGCAGGTGGGGGGTTCCTGTACGGGAGACCGAACACGCAAACCCATGGCGACACCTCCCGTTGTTCACTCACCCAAACCGCTACATGCCAGGATGGCATGCCCATGGCTTCCACCTTGTTATGCAAATGTCGTCGTTATGTTCCTTAACGGTTTTCCATATGTTGGGGGACCGCAGACATGTGAAGCGTCCCGACTACTTCATCAGTCACAAGTGGGACAGTCCCTTCCATTACCTGGTTCGCTCGGTGCGGGACTACCTCAGCGGAGCCGTGCCAGGGGAGGTGTACGTGTGGCTTGACATATTCGCAGTCAACCAGGCAAGGAAGATAGTGCGCCAGAAGGCGGGGAGGAGAAAGGAGAGAGGAAGGGGGATGGGAGGGGACGGGTAGGAAAGGAGCAATCGACAAGAGGGGGGATGTCGGGGGGAAAGCGCCATGCAAGGGGGGCGTCCAGGGTTGCGTGGGAGCGAAGGGTTGTGTGTGAAGGCGTCGGCACAGCAAGATGGCAGGGGAAGGGACTGACGACCCTCGAGGGGTTGAGGGTCCACTGCAATGGGGGAAGGAAGGCGGGGAGAGAGGCCGGGGGAGGCGGGCCTTGTAGAAAGGTTCAGGATGCACCTCAGGAGCGCTTGCCCACGGCCACATCTCATGAGCACCTTGTCTTCACCTCGCACCTCCCTGTCTATCCCTGCATGTGGCATGCAGCATCCTGGCAAGGAGCAGGACGACGATCTGGCGCAACTTAGTAACGCCATTACAAACGCAAGCGGCGGTACGTCCTGCTCTTGAATTTAAAAAAATTGTCCTGTTATGCAAAAATGGG